CAAGGAAGCCACTGAGAGAACCGTCCCTATGGTTCAGCAAAACCCAGCTGGACCTACCCCTGGGACGAAGCCGAGTGTTGGTAAGGGTCCAAAGAAAGCCCAAAAGCCACAGAAACCAGTGTCCAATTCGCCCAATGAAGGAAAGTCTGACGACTCTCTAGAGACGAGTCAGGCGGCTGAGGGCACCGAAACAGACGCTGAGGAAACAACCAATGAATCGTCAAGTGAAGCCCAAACAAACACTGACGACGAGGCTTCCGAGAGCGTGGGCACAGAGAGCGGGGAATCTGGCTCGGATGATGACAACGACGACAATGACAGTGACGACGTGGAGCACACATCTGCCCTGATCAGAAAAGGGAAGCTGCCAGTCGAATCTCCACAGAAGAAAAGAATCACTACTGAAGATGCAGCACCGATAATCGCTGGCAGACCCCAAGTCTTCACTATAAAGGAGATAGCTAAACTGAGAGCCGATCCCAGCGAGAAAAATTGCTCCAAGGACGACTATGATGAGGCGGCTCATTCAATTAAGAATTCTGAGGAAGTCGTCATCCGGGAGAAAAGGGCAAATGTCAAGAATGACAAGGCTGCCAAGGCAAAGCCCCAGCCCCGAGCCAGAAAGAGCCTGATTGATAAGGCAGACGAGCATATCTTCGCGGGCTGCGATACCTTTATCCAGATAAGCCGAGCTGAATCCCTAAGCACAGGAGCCGATCTTTTCGGTTCCCGGGTAGAAGTCGCAGTATCTGGCTCAACTGCGCAAGCACAGCCCTCTCCCAGCCACTCGATAGCCTCTCAACAGGCTATTGTTTCAAAAGAACGGGACTCCACCCCCTCACTGGTTCCTTCTGAATCAGTTAAGCGTACAATTGACCTATCGCCCGAGGTCAAAACCCCTTCTTCTATCACATCGAGTCTAGGTGTCACTTTCCCCACATTTTCTTCCTTTTCTAGGACACCTACACTATTCACTGCACATACAAGTGCACACACCCTGAACGCAACACAATGATTCCATCATTGCACGCATGCCACACATCAGCAATCTTCACTGATGCTGTGACAACAGTTACAACCCCCGTAACTGGTCACCCAACATTTGAAGACATAAACGTTCTACTAAATCGCTTCCTAGATTCCACCATTAAACCATGGGTGCAAGATGTAATGACCGCTCTAGCACAAGAATTTAGGACCACCCAAGCGGTTCGGTCTGAACAACCCCCACCCCAACCTTCACCCGAACCCTTCATTTCCCATACACAACCCGTATCCTCCACCCCTCTATCTCACCAATCCATAAACCAAATTCCCATTCCTTCACTTTCTCGAGGAACCCAGGATACAGAACCAGTATTCTCCCCACACCCGACCACACCCTCCATCGATCTATCCTCACTATCCTTCGACACTCTTGCGTCGGCTTTGCTGAACAACCTCCTAAACACCCCTGAAGACAAACTTAGCCTTCATCAGCAAGCCATACTCGAAGCTCTCCTTTCTTCACCGGAAACCAAGAGCACTTGCAAGGAGAGTCCTCGTGGTCGCAAACGTTCCCATGAGGACCCTGATGATTCGGATCCTCATGAGGGGGAGAACAAGCGACCTCGATCACTTGAGCAAACTGCTTTACCAAGCCAAAATCCACAGCCAATCCAACCCGAAACCTCTACAAACCAACAGCCACCACCCACAGCCAAAATATCTAGCATGGTCGAGCCAGAAGTAACATCCCGAGGCGTATCTCCCAGAGATACCAACCGATGAGGGGATGGAAGTCCTGATGATGTTACCACTGATACATCTTTTACATCAGGCCATCACTTGGAATCTAGTTCTAAGCCGATGTCAACGGGCAATCCAAGTGAACCCGGTTGTGCTACCCAGGAACAACCACCGCCTCAAAAGCAGCAAAGAGTTCCATACATTTCCCCAGGCAAAGACATCCACGATGCACTGGAGGAGGCGGTGATATATGATAAATGGCCGAGACAATGGACAGAATGGGATGATCTCCGTAATGAGGCTGAACAAGAGGACATGCAGAGAAATTGGTGGCTACGAGAGCTAATCAACAAATGCTCTGAAGATATCATTAGGCTCGAGGACGATGAACGCAAGGAAGGGGAGAACTACAAGGAATCCCAGAAAACTCTTGAATCCGTCATAAGACAATCAGCAGGAAGACTTCCCAAGAAAGAGAAACCCTGGGATAACATTCGAATCAAAGCCCCCTTCCAAGAGGAAATCAGAGAGCATATCTGCGTAGACCAGACAAAGTCAAACCGCTGAATGAACTGAAGCTAAGAGGCCTTACTCATCTAAAAGGAAAACAGGCTGGAGGTCATCTGCATATGCTATTACAAAGGTCAACCGGTACTCAGAGAGAACTGATGGAACAAGATCTGAAGTCAAATATTCTCCCGATTCATCAAATTTTACAAGTGAAGGCTGAAGATTATCACGGAGTAACATTCTATACTTACAGACTTCAACGCACTGACGGGAGTGAATTTACTTGCCAAGAGAATGACTTCATCATGCTTAAACCCGACGACATCTATCAAATGTTCATGGCCTATAGATACCTTCCAGTCAGGCAGAGCATAATATACAGCGAAGGTCTTGCAGCAATCAAGAGATTCATGCTTAGACAGATCAGAGTACACTCTTCACATGACCTACAGATGGCTATTGAGTGCAACCTGAAAAAGACAAATCTGACAAAGCCAAGACTGTATGGTCCAGAACTCGAAGACTTCCCAGCCTACCACATCTTCTTCACACCGCCAGCAGTCACTTATCTGAACCACAAGAACGAAAAACGTCTGATGGAAGTCAATGAAATTGAGAAATACTGTGACGGAACGCTGAAGACACTACTAGAAAAATGTCTTACAGTGACACCAAATTAGTGTCACTGAAAGTTTCTGTGACACTAAAAAAGTGTCGCTGAAAGTGGGGGCTAGTGACACTACGAGTGACACTTTTTAAGTGTCACTACAAGTGTCACGGAATTGTGACACTACGATATCACAATATAGTGACGCATTGGCGACATAGCTATTCGGCGACACTTTTACATCATATACTCCAGTGACACTTAAGTATCACTAAATAGTGATACCTTGGCGACACTACGGTATTACAAAACTTAATGACACACTAATACTATGAAATCATACACATGATACATTGATTACAATCATAATTTAATACTAATAAATAACCAAATGATCAAATATTTTTATTTATATCTCAAATTCACACGTAAATGTGATTGTACATTCTACATAATTCACAGGGACATATCACGAAACAATAAGTAAAAACAAGAACAAAACGCTAACAAATCCAACTTTTAGCCCATTCTTCACAGGGCCTTCACATTTCTTCTTATACATAGATATCATATCTTCTGCTGCACAGAATGAAGCCATTGTTCTATTACTACATTTGGACTCAGATGCTCAATTGTTATCTATCAACTGCAAAGAATGTGCTGGGTGTTGTATCTTGCATATGTGGAATTCTGCAAACCTAAAAGAAGTAAGTTAGAATGAAAAAAATATCAGGAAGTAAACATTAAACCTAGTCAACTCTAAGAACCTGATCTGCATACCGAGTTAGAATAATAACTCTAAATAATCGAGTTATTACTCGAGAGTGTGCAGAAATCAAACGTTAGAAAGAATGAGAAGAAGAAAAAGTGGCCAAGTGAGACAGTAACTTATAAGGTGGTAAATTCCACCGAAAATGGCGGTGATGATACAAGAAGTTTGTCCAGGAAGAAAAGGATAAAACTTCACCAAGCAAACCTGAAGTTAACCCATCAAAGGCTTAAGGCATATGGAAAGAAATAAAAGCATCATTGTTGAGGTGAGTACGTAGCCGATAGGCCCCTGTTTGGTTTGGAATTTTGGCGAGAGAAATATGAGATATATTTTCTTTACATGTTCTTAAATTTCTCGGGTAAAATGTACATGTTGACACATTCAAAATTGTAACATACAAAATCACCTGGGCATACCCCTGCTCAAAGAAAAAACAAAACAGCAAATTGCGGGCATAAGGCAGACACATTGTCTTACCCGCAAATAGCAGCCACAAACCAAACAACAAGACAGACCCCTTACTGTAACTAAAACAAACAGCTTAAACAGTCCACAACCTTCCATAATCAGATTCCAAATAATAAACTCTGGAAATCGTATCACTAACCGGATCTGCAAGAGAGCTAAATAAGATATAGAGCAAATCAATGTTTTTTTGGGCAATAGAAATAACTACAACAGAAATGAGTTGGTCAAAAGGTTATGGCGAAGATGACCTCTGCCTAGTTGGTCACATTAGAGAGAGCTCTTTTTGAGTAAAAAATGTAAATGATGTTATATAAACAAGGCTGAAATGGCTCTAGAAATGTATGGAATAAATATGATTGTAGTTGATGAGCTCTTAACCTGCATAGAGGAGAGTCATATAAGTTGCACCAATGGTCACATAACCGTTGCAAGGGATAAATTGCGAGCTGAAACTGATGTAGAAAAATAATGTTACTAAATAAAATATTGAACCCAAAAGAAAACTGATAGACAAAATAATATAAAAAAATTTCGGGCCCTGTGTGGTTGGGCGGCCTAACTCTCCCCAGGGCTGGCCCTGAACTAAGTGTTCTTAATGGGTAGCACTTTTCCATTTGCTTTCCTTTCACCCATTCGTTTCTGAAACAAAGGAAACAACAAGGTCAGAATGTGGTTGCAGAAGGCAAAAGAATAATAATAACAAAGGGCAATAAGATCAGCAAAATTGGAGATTTGCCACCGGGAGAAAGGTATCATAAACAACTCAAAGGCTGGAAAGTGGAAGCCCTTCTTGACACCACTTGTTACTTTCTTGGATGAGGACCTTGTGACTGGAGTCAATATAGATCCTGCTGTTGACAGAATGCTTTCTCCTTTAAGAAGAAAATCATATATCAAGTCTACAGTTGGTTTTGAGGATAGGCAAACTGGATCTGACTCGGAAGTTGTAGATGATCCAATGAACTGTAGCACAGAATATGGTTCTATGTCCGAATCTGCAGATGATATAGAACCAGAAGAAAGTTCCAGCAGTGAAATGTCATTCCATCTCTGCATAACTGATGAACGGGGTGTGAAATGCAGGCCGATTCTGAATAACACACCAATAAAACTTGGACCTGGTGTAAAGGTATATCTGGACTGGACTGAAAAAGAGTATGAATCATTTGATGCTAGTTATCTAAAGGATCTTCCTGATGTACACAAAAGCGGACCTGCTGCGCAAAAAACAAAGCCAGAAGCTATCTCCTTATTTTCCTGTTTGCAGGCATTCTTGAAGGAAGAACCATTGGGGCCTGATGATATGTGGTATTGCCCTAGCTGCAAAGAACATAGACAAGCAACAAAGAAGTTAGAATGCCATTCATTATCCGACTACAAAAAAAAAATCTTCGGATGTATATTTCTGTACTTTTTTGAAGAAATAACAGTTTGTTGCAAGGAATCCCATTCATTATCCGACTACAAAAAAAAATAATGATAACAATAATAATCCCTACAGCCTACACCTCATTTTACTTGACAATGACATTCTAGCGTTTGCACACATATTAAAATCCTAAGGGAGTTTAGCTTGTCATAAAAGATTTGAGAATACACGGATGCATATAGCAACAAAAAACAGATACGTACACACGCACACACATAGTCTTTAGAACTTTACCTTGTTTTTTTACAAAATTTGCCCTTCATGTAACACCTAAACATAGAATTGCCAAAATAGAAACACATACATAAATAATCATAAAGATGTATAAACGAAAAAAACAACTTACATCAGAGGAGACGAAGGGAGCAAACAATTGCGATGAAGGCTGATGTGTGTGGCTGAATTGAGTCCTCACCGGGAAATAAGCTGGTGAAGATAGTGGTTTGTGAAAGAAGAAGAGAGACACGGTTTGACAGGGGTGAGTGTGTAGGTTATACGAACGGGGCGACAGATCGTGTTTGATAGCGCAGATGAACTAAAGAAAAGGAGTTACACATATTTAAGCATATAGTACATCTATACATAGCTGACATTACACCAACAGATTTTTAATACCTTAAATAAGTTTACCCTCATTCATGTTTATTATTTTATAAAGATATATCAACCTCACATAAGTTAAAGATGGAGTACCATTGTGTAGCAGTAAAATAATGCTCACTCATTTTAAAAGTTGCACTCCTGCTGGAACATAACGTAAAACTTCAAAACCTGTGAGAAGAAATGCCGAAAGAGAGAAAAAAGTTTGGACTTGCTTTGTGTGTATTGTGTTAGTAGTATACACCCCAAAGCTGCTTACCGTGCAATTTGAGTATTTGACACAAATGAAAATTGAACAAAAATCATTGATATAAATGGAAAGCATGTATGTTACCCAGAGCAATGCAGTCAACCAATCTAAGTAGTTATGCGTCACACTAAATTCACTGGAACTTGCTTCTAGCAATTGCATCTTTGTCAATTCTTCTTCAATAACTTGCATAACATGCTGAAAACATAGAATTGCAAAAAATTTTGAATCTCAACAGATAGAAAGGATTAACCCACTAAGGTTATTTTCTAACGCAGGGAAAGTTTTTTGTCGTTGTATTTCAATTGGGACAAAATAGTAGATTAATACAAAAAAATGAATTAGAATAAATCATTCAACTATAACCTAGCGATTAGATAAACTGAAAGAAGAGAAATGTACACACATACCATAAAATGGATGACAATCAGTGAGGGAGTAGACTCGCGAGGCCGGGGAGAGAACCCTCAGAACCAATAGCTTGTTTGGGTTGTACAAACGAGAAAAGAGGGGTGGTGAGCGTGTGATGGTTCGAGCAATCAGTTGGGGGAGTTAATCCACATGGAGATGAAGACTCGTGGCTGGCATAGTAGCGATCAATGTTGAATCCTGCAGATGAAGCCAACTGTGTATAGTTTGAAGCGCGGAGGTCGTTTGACGGTGAATCGGTGATACAACCAACGGAGTATGGGCTGCACGTCGACGGTGATCTCTTCTACTCTGGAGTCTGGGCTGCGCGTCGACGGTGGTCTCTTCTACTCAGGAGTCTGGGCTGCGCATCGATGGCGTCTCTTCTGCTCGATCTGGATCTGGACTTTCGTAGCCTTCACACTTTGAGATGTGGAGTGCTTTAGGTATGTGTCTGTGCGTCGAGGTCTTTAGGTCTAGCGGACAGGAGTTTAACTATTTACTCCGTAAAAAATACTCCGCATGATTTTTACTCCATATTAAAAATTGAGTGTCACTGACATGCTAAAATCACTTAGGGCCGATACAATAGTGTCATAAATGCCTAATGTAATGGAAAGTGTCACTAAAATAGTGTCACTGTAAGCAGTTTTTCTACTAGTGAGATAATCAAAGAACAGCTTCTAAAGATGAAGGCAGAGCTAGAGGAAAATCTTCAAGAGGCATCGTCTTATGTTCAAAAGGAACACTCTACAGTAGAGACAATTTTAAAGGCCATTGACGATCGCCTAGAAAAGAGAAATATGCTGAGGCAATATGAACATGCACTAAATATGAGGAAGCACTACTTCAAGTCGCAGAAGCAATAACAGAGTGGCACTTGATCACAAAGGGGGAGATTGTTGGAGATATTTTAATTGTGAATCAAGTTTGTCATGGATTAGCTTTATTATTAATCCTTGTATTTAATTAGTGCATGAATTAGATAGAACTTGGGCCAAGTGTTAGGCCCATATAAGCAGGCTAAAAGCCTTGTACGCCTAACCTAAACCTCGCCTATAAAAAGGGAGCCGAGGGTTTAGGATTAGGTTAACGTCGTACTTATTCTTCATAGCCTTACGCGCATATCTTTGTGTTGTACGAGTTCACGGTCTATCAAAGAGGGTTTTACATTGATTCAATCTGTGTTCATCCTTACGTTTAATCTTCGTTGTTAGATCGTTATTCATTCCTGTTACAGAAACATGGACTATCAATTAAGCAATAGTATTGCTATAAATTTTGGTTCAATTCACATTTTTTTACTTCACATTTCACTCGAATTAAAGTATTATTTAATTACTAGTAATTTGATTAAAGTAAACATTAAAATAGTAATTTGCTATAACTCGAATTAATAGTTATAATTTTATTTGATTAAAGTAAACTTTTTAGATTGAAGTATTATTTAAAATAGTTTTAAATACTCTTATTAATATATTTGTTGCAATTTAATATTTGTTACATTTTTTAGATGGATCGTCCTAGATATTCGGTTGATATGGGTAACCTCGAGCGCAACCGAACGAAAGAGCTTGCGAGGAAGAGATCCCGCAAAGGTAAATCACATATCGGCTCTTCATCTCAAAGTCGAGATGATTTTGATACGGGTTACGCAAGGAGGGATGTGGTTGCGATGACCGACGAACAACTAGAACAAGAATTGCACCGACATAATAGCCATTTTTTTCAAGACCAACTGTGGACCATTGACGAAGAAGAGCTCGAGGACGACGATGTGGAGGAAGTAATTCCTGAGAGCCATGACGACGACGAGGAGGAGGGTGGCGGCAGCTACGACGCCGACGAGCCTGCCTCATCTCAAACCGGTACGAAAAAAGTAAATCTGAACTAATGGCTAATAATTTTTCTAAGTGGAAGGACCCGAACACCGGGTATTGGACCGCAACTTGCAATTGGTGCAAGAAAAACTATAGCTTGGGGATTTTCGGCGGATACGGATCCGCCACAAGACATCTTAAGTCCAAACACCCGGTGGAGTATGCAAAATTAGGCGGCGGAACAGGGAAGCAAACTCAAATATTGAGGTTTGCAAATAACCAACAAGCTTTTGGTAATTTCTCATACAATGATGCTAAAAATTTGACTGGTATGGCTAACTTGTTGAAGAAAATTTGCCTTATTTGTTTTCTGAAAGTCTTGCTTTTCGTGATTATGCAAAAACTTGTTTAAATCCGCAATATAGAAGTTATAGTCGCAAAACGGTTAAGAAAGAAATTTCAAGGCTTTATGGTGCGGAAAAGGTAAGGTCACAAAATTATTTTGCAAACTTTGATGGGCGTGTTACTGTATGTCCTGACATATGAGAGGATACTTATCATAATTTACATTATTTGGGTCTGACTGTACATTATATTGATAATGATTGGAATATGCATAAACGTGTTCTTGCTTTCCGTGAATTTAATGATTGTCACACCGCTGAACATATTTATATTTTGATTGAGCGTATTTTAATTGAGTATAATTTAATTGATAAGGTGTTTGCTATTGGTTTTGATAATGCTACTAATAATACTGCTGCTATTCTTAGATTGCGTGAATTGTGTGGTTCTACTTCTTTGATGGGTAGATTTTTTCATCAACGATGTGCATGTCATGTTCTAAATTTATGTGTACAAGATGGTCTAAAAGCGGTAGGAGCATCTTTGGAGGTAGTCAAGGGGGGGATTAGACGTATTTGGGGTAATAGACAACTTAGAAAAAATGGCATGATTATTTGATAGAAAGATGTGAGAAATATGTGGCTTTTCCTAAAGATTTGTCTATTCGTTGGAATAGTACTTATAAGTTAATTGGAGTTCTTCTTAGATATAAACAACATTTTCCTGATTTTATGAAACAATATGATAACTATATTATACACTCGGCTGAGATCGATACCTGTGAAAAAATTTGTAATGCTTTGATATATTTTAATAATGCAACTGAAACTTTTAGTCACGTTTATGAACCACCTCAAACCAATTTATTCGTGAAGCTGTTAATCTCGCCGGTGCTTTTTCAAATTTTGAGAATGCTGATTATGTGAGTTATTTTGCTAGTTTTATGAAGGAAAAGTTTTTAAAATATTATTCACATATTCCGCATATTTATGGTATTGCGTTTGTTCTCGACCCTCGTTTTAGACTTGGTTCTTTAGAAGAATGTTTGAATTATTATTATGCTATTTTTTTTGGTCCAATGCTAATGTATGAGGACAATTCAATTGATCCGAAAAAAGAATACAACGAGGTTAGTGATATATTTTATGCATTATTTAATGAGTTTCATGCACAATATGGCAATGCGCCCCTCCCCCGACACAAACATCATCATCTAAAGGAAAATCATTTTTCAAATCTACATTTGCCAATCTTATTAAAAAAACGAAATCAACTCCCGCTACGCAACAAAGCACAATTAATGAGATTTCTTTGTATTTAAAGAAGATGATGATTTTGACGTACTAAATTGGTGGAAGGGAAAAGAAAGAATGTTCCCGGTTTTAGAAAAGATGGCTAAGCAAGTGCTATCAATGCCGGTTTCAACAGTTGACGTGGAACAAGAATTTAGTTCGGCCGGCAATGTCCTAACGCAATGTAGAACGAGGTTGAGCGCAGAATCTCTTGAGATGCTTATATACAACCACGATTGGTTGAAGGCGGCCCGTAGAGCTCAAGAAATTGACATCACCCCATCCCAACACTTTATGGATGAATTTACAACCGAGGGTGGCTCTACCTATGTCAGAGATTCTGATTGATACAATTTACAAAATGTATTTCATATTGTATGCTTTTCTTAATTGTCAAATGTAGTTCCTATTTCATTTCAAATAAATACACTTGAAGTTTGTTTTTAATACTTGTATAAAACTATAAAGTATAAATTAAAAAAAAATGGATTTAACTAGCCCGGCCTAGGCTGGCGGGTAGCCCGACCCGTGACTCGGGCTGGTGGCCCGGCCTGAACCGGACTCGCCAGACCTCGGGCTGGTCCCGGGTCCATTAGTTACAAACCGGTGGCCCGGCCGGGCCTAGGCCCATCCTGGGCCCGACCCGGCCCGAGTCCATGTTCATACGAAGGAATTGCCTTTATAGAGAGGAGCAACCAGAATAGTCACGTTGACCGGCATGGTGCGGGGTAAATTCACGTGGCGATGGCGATGGCAAAAAAATGGCGCACCAATAACACACATAAAAAAATATAGGGAAAATGGAAACTAATAATCCAACCTTTTAGCTGTCTTCTTACAATAGTCCCACCTTTTGATTATTCAGGAATAATCCAACCTTTGCACCCGATCTTCATTCAATGGTCCCTGACCGATTGATGACCTGCTATTCCAAGTTATTTTCTTATCTTTGCAATATATTATACCATAAATCCAGGGCCGAACCTCTAGATGAGGCAAAGAGGCAACTGCCTCAGGCCCACAAATTTGGGGGAAAAATTAGGGCCCAGAAATTTATTAGTTACCTTTATATAGATGAAAGTTCATGTCCGGAATTCCGGACAAGAACCGCCGTCGGGACGGTAGCGTTTGGTCGACTTCCCTATGGAATTTTTTGTTGAAATTTTTATAACATGTTCCTCATCAAATCTAGTTTATCCACAAAATGGTTCAACTTAAAATTCAACCGGAAAGGCCGTCAAATTATTTTTGGAAGTTAACTGCGTTTTATATGTATATTTTGGCACATTTATCTTCCAAATATCATTTGACGTCCTTCCCGATTGAATTTTTAGCTGAATTTTGTGTGGATAAACTAGACTTGATTAGGAACATGACATAAAATATTTTACCAAACGCCTCCATCTGGACGACGGTTCCTGTCCGGAATTCCGAACATAAACTTTCCTCCCGAAAAATTTCCCAGGGCCTTTTTTCACAGTTCGACTCAGACCAAAAAACTCTTAGGATCGGCCCTGCATAAATCCACCTTATGGTCACATAATGTTTTGCAAAGATAAGAAAATAACTTGGAATAACAATCCATCAACCGGTCAGGGACCATTGAATGAAAATGGGGTGCAAAGGTTGTATTATTCCTGAATAATCAAAAGGCGGGACTATTGTAAGAAGACCACTGAAAAGTTGGATTATTAGTTTCCATTTTCCCAAAAATATAAACATGACCGATAGGAATAAATCAATGAATGTTTTAATCTGTAAATTGAAATTATCTAGAGAAATAACTGAGCCTAAGCATCTAACCTCATTATCCCATTGGATCTTTAGATTTGGGATACAGAGGGGTTTGCGTCTTCTAGTTGTTATACACCATCGGGGATTATCTTTCTAGCGATGAATGTAGAAAGATGGAATGACGTGTCAACTAGGGACCATAATTGCTCTATTTATAGAAAATGTTTAACTCTAATCAACTCATCATTAATTAGGTTAAGGTCATGGTTTCTACACATTTGGGCTTATATCTTATTAGATAACATATCAACCCACTTAAATTAATATTTATAGGACCACTAATTTTTGGGTCTAAACATAAGATAACATATAACATACAATTAAACCTATATACAATATAGATTTAACCACCGATTAAACCACCGATTAAAGAGTTAAATTTTTAAATAGCACAAAAAATAATCCAAATCAAATTAAATAACTTATATGGTCCAATCGTGCAATCAACTGGCCCACAAAAAATGAGAGGAAGTGAGAAACAAAGAGAAACAGAGAATCGCTTTTAACTTTACCAAAAAAGAGAACGAGTTTTGGAGAAAGACTTTTAAGTTATTTTGCCAAACTTCAATCCAAAATAGTGAAGAACTAAAACCAAAGCGAGCAGTCTGCGTGGATGACAAGCGATTAGAGTCGGCGACCACTTTCAACAACAATCGACAGTGACACGACCAGCTACAGCGACTGCGACCAAAGTCACGACCCAGACGCGTGCGCCATTATTTGGCCCAAAATGGCGAGAGCGAAGCTATAGCGCACATTTGGCAACACTACCAAAAAACAGGCTCCTTGTCACGGACCATAATTAAAAATATCCATGACAAAAAACTTTGTCACGTATGTTGTCACGGATTTTGTTCATGACCGTTTGAGCGTGACAAATTTTTGTCATGGACAGTAATGCGTGACAACATCTGTGACAAAGTGTTCTGTCATAGATTTGTCACGGATAGATCCGTGACAAAAGGTTCACCAGAGAAATATTAACGTATTTCACTAATTAACATGTAGGAAGATTAATATAATAAATTTCACTAAAGTTCACTAAAATTAATTAAAGTTCAATTAATATTATTATTAACTATCTAAAATCAATACGTTAATGACATTAATTATTTGTATTAACTAACATTTGAATCCTAATAATTCACAATACTAACATTTTTAACTGAAATTCTAATAATACACAATAAAGTAACTAACACTTAAAATTTAACTGAAATTGAAATAATTCACAATAATAATTCATTGAAATCCTAATAATTCACATTAAAGTAATTTTTAAATCCTAACTTAAGTCATTATAAATCCTAAATGAAAGGCATTAACAATAATTGCTAAAATTTAGAATATATTTCTAAACAAATTTCAAATAATCATTCACTCATATATTTTACGTATTAGGTCATAAACATTTTTAATTAACTAAAAATGTAAAAGGCATTTTAATTGAATTACTATTATTACTTAAAACTCTAAAAGGTATTGACTAAAAGGCATAATAAACCCTAATTTTTTAACAAACCCATTTGAATTAACTAATATTTAAATTAAATTAATATAATATTGAATTTGACCTCGGTTGTTAATATAACCGATGTTGAATCCCCCGTGATGCAGCCAAATGTGATGTTTGTCACATCAGTTATTTTAGAACCGATGTAGAATTCCTCGTGATGCGCCCAAATTTGATGCATCTCTACATCGATTATTTCACAACCGATGTGGAAAATCTTTCACATCGGTCCTTTAACAGATGCGAAAGAATTTCATTTATTTTCACATTGTCTGGATCTATATTGGTTGTATAGCCGATGTCAAAAGTCAATTTTAATCGATGTAAGAAGTCATTTTTCTAGTACCGAATATGAACAATGTAAATAGCCTTGGCAAACAATTGGGGCATCTCACTCCGACAGAGAGAACCTAACTGGAAACAGAGAGAACAGTAATTATTTATGAGATGAATATTTCTTCATTAAATCACGATTTGGAGTTGACCAACAAGAAACATGAAGAGAAATGCTTGTAGCTAGAAACACAAACAGATGAGACTAGAATCGAGTTAGGGAAGAAGATAATGGAACTCGAGTGTCTACGTGATTCAAGGATGAAGGTGGGAGAACTTGAAGCCTTTTCAGAATCAAAGTTTCTGACATGGCAAAGGAAAGAACACGGATATAAAGTCTTCACAGAATCTCGAGGAAATGACGGAACAGAGTAGAATTTGAGCAGGTGTTTCCGAATCGCGTTGATGTATTTTTTTTGACGAAAAAGAGTAAAACGGAGTTCAGTACTCCGAATTTGAAGTGGTCGACACAACTTTAAAGCAGAAGATAGGATTTCCGAACGTTTTCATTGGTCCGTCGGATTCTACCGTGATAATATTTTCAGCATAAATACTGCTCCTCCTCCACACTTTCACACCCACCAACATCTCCTATCCTCCTCCCACACTTTCGCACCAACAAAACAAACAAGGCTTCTTGTTCAAAGGTTAGAGTTTCTTCTTCTTCTTCTTCTTCTTCTTCTTCTTCTTCTTATTATTATTATTATTATTATTATTATTATTATTATTATTATTATTATTATTATTATTATTATTATTATTATTATTATTGATGGATAGTGTACCCGGGGGGTAGCCTATCTGAGGGGTTATCACGAGGAATAACAGGAGAGAAGTCAGAGCAAGTAAGAGAGAGAAAGTATATTGAGTTGAGGCGTTCAAGCGTTTATGACCCTTTTACAAATGGGGAAAAGGGGTGCTATTTATAGTAGCAATAAATGCCGGACAGAAACACGTGTCAAGCGTCCATTGGCCGAGAGGTCACCTCATCTGGTTGGCGCTGGCAACCGCATGTGGCCGCATTTAATGCGGTTGTTGGATGGGACATTGTACAGGGTACGGTGATCTGTACGCATGTGGCGCGGATATCATGTCGGGGAAGGTGCCCTCGGATGTTAGAAGACTAGCCGAGGGCTCTGAGTACCGGGGACCCCTTGGTGCCGAGGGCTCCAGGTGCTGAGGGCTACTGTTTTCTGCCGTTTTTCTCCCAGTTTCTTAGTTTGCTTGAAAACCCATTCTGTGAGAGTTTTGAGTCTTCGTCCAGGGGGCCGAAGGCTCCCCAGTGTGCGCTTTGGTCTTCTAAGTGCTTGGGGTGTCGTAATTTGGGGCCTGCTGTGCTTCCTGGGCCGGTTGGGCCTTTATTGGTGTAGTAGGAGTCTGTGGGCCGGGGGTTCCCGGGTCATATACTCCATCAGGAGTCCCTCACTCCTTTTGCCGAAAGGTACTTGAGGGAAAAGGAGTAATTCTGTGTTTGTCCCCTTGATGTTGTCCTGTTGTAATCTCTGAAGTTGGTGAGGAGTTGTTGCTTTCCTGTCCCTGCCGAAGGCAGTCCCTCAGTTACCCACACGTCGGGACTTGAGGGATTGCTTTGCCGCCTGTTGGAATTTTTCACCATTTTTGTAGTTTAATGATTTTCCCGAAGGGGTTCCCCAGTCCCCCACTCCTTGAGGCACTTGTAAAGTGGTGAAAAGGAGTAGAGTAGTCCGTTGTAGCATGGGGCCGAAGGCTGACGCTTTTCGTTTCATTTTGGGGGGATGCCTCGTTAAAAACCTTATTAGGAAAAACCCTGTGGGAAAAAATCCTAATGAGGGAAAAAGAGTGCACCGAATTCCCCCAACGATGAATCGAAAACGTGAAACCTTGGTTCCAAATGGAGAATAACGGTAATGCCGAAGGCTCTTCTTGTTTTGGGGGCTCATGTGTTGATTAGCCGAAGGCTTGCTGTTGATGTCCTGGGGGGTGCCGAAGGGGAGCCCTCAATCTGGGGATCGAGGGCGTGATGGATGAGGGCAGTAGTTGAATTGTCACCGGGGGGTCCCCTACTTGCTGATTAGTTGGTGATGAGGATATCTGAGGGCTCCCATTACCTGTGTGCCGTAGGCTATCCGTCAATGAGGCATACTCCCCGGGGGCTACCCGGTCCTTACAGTTCCGAGGGGGAATCCCCGAGGGACGGCCTGATGTGAAGCCTTGGGCTTCTGAAGGAGTGATCCCGAAGGCGTCTGTTATGTACTGTGTGGGGCACAACCCGGGAGCGCCTCTGGGTAAGTGTACCCGGAGGCTTTCCCTGATGAAGTGGAGTGAAGTAAAAAACCCGGGGGCTCCCAGAATATAGCCGTTGGAAATATAGCCGTTGGAATATGTAACGTCAGGATATAGCCGTTGGGGGGGTACACGTGGCGCGTGATGGTTGGCCGTCCGTGGGCGGCGTCACCGGTTGGGCGAAGACACGGTGTGTAATGATGATAGTCCAACCGGAGGCCCGGTTTCCAGGCCCAAGCCCGGATTCCAGCGCCTATAAATACCCCATGGCCGGCTCCCTTCCCCCTGTGCGAAATCCCTATAGCGAAGCTCTGCCAAAATTTCTAGAGAGAGAAACAGTAGCCCTCGATCAATCCTTGCCTTAAGGTCAGTTCCCCCCTGCTCTTCTCGTTGTAGTTAGCTGTGCCCTGTGCCCTTAGGATAGGAGATAGAATTTTTTAGAAACACTAGCGTTTCCGAGCCCTCGGACTATAGCCAAGATGTCTTCCCAGAGTGACTCCCAGGACATATCGAGGGATTCATCGGTGGGAGGGGAGAGCTTCTCGGACGCTGGGTCCTCAAGTGAGCAGCCCTCGGTCCAAGAGGACGTCACGATGGCGATAGATGTACAGAAAGACCCGACGGCTGAAGTCGAAGCCGAGGGCTTTGAGCAGGAGGCAGAGGACGAAGACCTAGCCCTCGCCGTGCAGGTTGCAGAGGAGGAGGAAGCAAAGGAGAGGACAAGGGTGACAGTGGCTGTCCTTCCCCCCCGCGGCTCTGGTGAAGCAAGCAGCTCGAGGCCACTGAACCCGTCGCCCTTGAGAGTAGCCCCCGGCTCGAGGGAGAAGAAGGCGAAAGCTGCTACCAGGAAGAAAGTCGGGGCTGCCGACCAAGGGAAACCCGTTGATATGCCCGAGGGGTATTCTTGGCTGAACACTGAGGCCCTTGAGATAAAGTCGAAGGCGGACATGGCGGATTTCTACGTCACGCAGCTACACGTAGGGCCCTCGGCCGTGGTGGTCGAGCCGGGAGTTGACGATGTGCTGTCTCGGGTGCCCGAGGGGTGTATTGCAGTACACATACTGTCGGTCTCCATGGGCCTTCGGTTCCCTCTGCACCCCTTCCTCCGGGAGTACCTTAGGTTTGTTGGCTTGGTCCCCTTCCAGCTGACACCTAATAGCCACTCCTACGTGGCGGGTTTTTTGAACCTCTGCAGGGACCGAGGGGTGACCCCCAGCCTGGATTTGTTCTTCCAGAGCTTCAACCTCTGCCGAGGGGGTCACGCGAATGCCGAGGGCTTCGCCAACCTGCAGCAGATAGCTAGGTGGAAGCTATTTACAGAGGCGCCTTCGTCCAATAAGGACTGGAAGGAGCGATGGTGCTACGTCAGAGTTGCTGAGAACCCATTTCCGGCGGAACTTCGGGATCGCTTCCGCCGGCATCTGAAGGTTGGAAACGCCGCTCTCGAGAAGGATGGCTTGATAATAGCCAAAATCCCGGAGGGTTGCACGAAGCAAGTGTCTATTAAAGATTACACTGCCGACAAGGAACTCTTCGCCCTCGGCTTCCGGAGATACCGTTTCATCGGGGAAACGGACGAGAAGTACCCCGTTTTTGCTGAGGCCTTCGGGGGAGCAGGAGGTAGTCTACGAGGGCCCTTAGTCTTGTACTTAGGCATTCTTATTTTACATCCCGATAGTTGTTTGTTGTATGGATCCTTCGGGTTAATCTTTTCTCTTCATTGTTTTGCAGGTATGGAGGCTCTCTTTGCCATGAAAAAGAAGAAGGAGAGGGCTCAGGCCCAGAAGAAGGAGAAAAAGGAGCCCTCGGGCCAAAAGCCCATTGATGAGGTCTTCCCGAAGGAGGTTGTGGAGCCTTCTGTTGATGCTGCTCTTGCTACTGTGGTCGGGGGGCCAAAGGCCGAGGTGGCCACCAAGAAGAAGAAGGGAGACAAGGGGGTGGAGCCCCCGATCAAGAAACAGAAGGTTGCCGGGGGCATCGTTGGAATGGCGGCCCCCCTCATAGTAATTGATGATCAGCCCTCCGCTGACTCCCCGACCATTGACACCCCGATGGCTCAAACAGATCTTCCCCCGGAGAACTTGCCTCGAGAGATTATTCAGCTCTCCCTCGCCCCGGGGGCATCTGTGTTGCATGGTTCAGCTGAACCGATGTCTTTCCTGAGGGGGATCACCTCGATGATGGATAAGCAGGCCCTCCCCACCTACGACGACGACGCCCTCGAAAGCAAGGCCCTTCGATCATCTCTGGCTGTAAGTATTTTTACTTTGCTTTTATCTTAACACTTAGTATATTCTCAACGCCCGTCTTAACCCATTGTCCATTATTCAACAGGCGTGTATAACCCTCGGTGAGCAGGCCCGAAGGCGCGAGGAGTGGCGCCGTCATAAGGCCGAGCTAGAGAAGTCCGTGAAGGAGCTGATCCATGACAAGGACGCTTCCCTCCGGGAGGTGTGCAAGCTGGAGGACGCCCTTCGGCAAGCGGAGCTGAAGCTGAAGGAGGCCAGAGATGACGGCAAGGCCGAGGGCAAGGCAGAGGCCGAGAGGGTTGCGGCCGAGGAGAGGAAGCAAGCGGCTGAGGACGCCGAAAAGGCCAAGGCCGAAGCTGTTGTCAAAGCCCGAGAAGAGGCCATCGCTGGGTTCATCTCGGAGGGTTGGAAGGCCGAGGGCCAGAGGGAGTGGGTGGCCTCTGTGGTGAAGGCCTCGATCGAGGAGTGGGTGAAAGGCCCCGGGCTCGACTGGATGAACGAGAGGGGCGACACCTATTATCAAGCCGGCGAGTTCTTCACCCAGCATCTGGTTTACCGGAGGCTCGCTCGGCATTTCGGCACCCCTATGGCGGAGTTTGACCCCTCGGTGTACGGCCTCCCCCCGTTGCAGCCAGATGTGAGAGTCCCCCTCCCCGAGGGCGGCGAGCGCCCGGTGATTCATGATTCTATGATGATGAGCGGCGATGATGATGGTGCTACCGTCGGGGACAGTGCGGTCGAAGAAGAAATCTCCTCCAAACCTGCCGCAGGGGCCGTTGATGAAGTGGCTGATAAATCTTAACTTGTACTTAGCTGATTTTTGAAAACTCTTTGTAATGAACTTTTGTCACCCCTCGGTTTTGGCCCGTATGTAATAGTTACACTGACTTTTCTTTTGATGATTGATGGATGAATGTTAGCCTTCAGGCTTTTGTATATGAATGTGTTGTCCTTCTTTTATTTTGAATGTATACCTTCGTCTCATTTTGAATGTATGCCTTTGTTCCTTTGAATGTATATTTAGGACTTAGAATAATTCCTTCCAATTGTGGTGCTTCTTGTAGTCCTCGGCTACTAGTAATCTTTAGTCAATTGAAGCTTTCACCGAGGGCCCAATGCTCAGGACTTTGAAAATATTTCTGAGTGTTCGAATACAGTCATAGCCTTCGGTAGCTAGGCACCCTTCGCTAGATGTATGACCGAGGGCCCAGCTATAGTTAGGACTTAGAAAATACTTCTAAGTGTAGTCTCACCAAGCCTTCAATCGTATGACCCCTCGGGTTGCAGGGAGATTTGGGACTTAGAAACTTGTCACCGAGGGTGAGATCCTTTGGGACTTGGGAATTTTTCTGAGTGTAGGACTTAGAAAAATTTCCTAAGTATAGCTTCACCAAGTCTTCAACCGCATGGCCCCTCCGGCAGTATGAAGAGTTGACCGAGGGCCAAAACATGTAGGACTTAGGAATTTTTCCTAAGTATAGCTTCACCAAGTCTTCAACTGCATGGCCCCTCCGGCAGTATGAAGAGTTGATCGAGGGCCAAAATATGTAGGACTTAGGAATTTTTCCTAAGTGTAGTATGCGTGAAGTAGGAGCCCTCGGATGACTGTAGTTCAATCGCTGTGTGATGGTTAGGTTGAGAACCCAATCCTTAGGACTTAGAGAAATTTCTAAGTGTAGTTTCCCATTGGAAGCCCTCGGCTGGTAGCCTCCTTTCCTGATGTGTGACTACTCGATTGAGGGCCAAATATGTGGGATTTAGAAAATCTTCTAAGTGCTGTCGTATCACGTGACCTTTGGCTATCATGGTCCCTCAGTTGAAATATTGATCAGGCCGGGGGCTCAATCTTTAGGACTTAGAAAATTTTCTAAGTGTTGCTTCCTTGTGTAGTCTTCGGTTAGTAGTGTTTCCCACTTAAGATTTCCCGAGGGCGACATTATTTTGGAATAATCCCCCTTGGTTGGCTTTTGATGATTTGTAATAGATGCCTTCGGTTGTTGGGTGATATATGAGCCTCCGGCTGTTGTCATTTTCCAAAGGTGTGGACTTAGGAAAATTTGTAGGATATTGATGTTGTAGTGAATGTTGGTGGGATATAGGTGCCCTCGGCATTCATTTGAAGGGTTCTTGAGCTGCATTAGTCAGTTGCATCCCCTTTTACAGGATAGGACCTCTCGGTAGCAATGGTGACCGATGGTAGGTGCCCTCGGCACTTATTAGAAGTGAACTCATCCCTTTGCATTGTGGAGTGGTAACCTTCGGGAAATAGGAGCCTTCAGTTACCGGAGGTGTTCCCATAGGGAGCCCTCGGTATGCTGTGATTTGTTTGAGTGTTGTACTCATTGATTTCTCGATGAGTCTACTCCCCTTCACCCCCTTTTTTTTGTTGGTGGTGAAGGGAAGGCATCAAGAAACTTGGTTTCTTGGTAAGGCTGGGCCTATCAGGAGACCATCAGAATACACCAATGGATCTCCTCCCTCGGGTTAACCTTCCGAGTTCCGAGGGGATCGAGGGTCGTTTCCTGGGCACGAGATATGGTGGTCTGTAACCTGCCTCCCCTTGGGGGATGGCGCGGAAAGCGCCTCATTTTTGAAAGTCGTCCCCTCAGCGCTAGACATAGTCCGTGGCCTGCCACACCCTTGGGGTGGTGGCGTGGGGAGCGTTTCGGTTTGGAAGTCGAATCCTGGGCATTTCTCGTGCCTGTCATACCCTTGGGGTGATGACGCGGAAAGCGTTCCATTTTTGAAAGTCGAATCCTTGGCATTTCTCATGCCTGTCATACCCTGGGGGTAGTGACACGGAAAGCGTTTCAAGGAAGGGTTTTCATTTGCACACTAGTTGCAAATGGCCGGGGGCACGACGTGCCGCCGGCACCGATGGTGGCGCCTTCGGTATATGCGTCCTCGTGGGGTACGGCTTTAGAAACAACACTTGGTGTTAGTTTCGATATGTAGCCCCCCGGTACTTGGTACCGAGGGGTCTTCTGTAGGGACACTTAGTGTTCTTCTATTTGACGTTGATGGGTGAGTTGTGTACCCCCGGTACTTGGTACCGAGGGGTCTTCTGTAGGAACAATTGGTGTTCTTATCTTTGATGTTGATGGTGGAGATGTGTACCCCTGGCACTGGGTGCCGAAGGGTCTTCTGTAGGAACACTTGGTGTTCTTCTCTTTGATGTTGATGGTGGAGATGTGTACCCCCGGCACTGGGTGCCGAAGGGTCTTCTGTAGGAACACTTGGTGTTTCCTGTTGCCGGTGATGGGAGTCCCCACCTTCGGTACTTGGTACCGAGGGGTCTTGTTTGAAACGCTTGGTGTTTCTACTGTTTTTGAAGGTGTTGATGGTGTCCGCCCTCAGCACTTGGTGCCGGAGGGGGTTCTTCTCGTGGTGAGGCCTGGGGCCTATAGTCGGTATGAGGGCTTGGCCGCTCATTAGTGTTTTGTGGTTGTTCTTGGTGTCTTGAATGTGTCTTCATTCCTCAAAAGTGGAGGCCTTGGGCCATAGGATGGTACATTCACTAGTTATGAGGGCTTGGCCGCTCTTTACATTATTGATAAAATTTAACTAAATGGTGTACATTCCAGTGCCTAGGGACCTCCTTCCCGTTGGGGCGTTTGAGCTTGTAAGTCCCAGGTTTGATGATGGCTGCTATGATGTAGGGGCCTTCGAATTTTGGTGCCATTTTTCCTCCCTCGGTTGGTTGGCTGGCTTCCCTCCTCCGGAGGACATAGTCCCCCACTTGGAATTCTCGGGTGCGAACCTTGGCGTCGATGTAGCCTTTGACTTGCCTTCGGTAGTTTTCTGCCCGGATGAAGGCTTGCTCCCGGCGTTCTGAAAGGAGGTGGAGGTCGAGGGCCATGTTGTTGTCGTTGACCTCAGGGTCATATTGGATCACCCTCCGGGTAGGAAGAGTGACTTCCGTTGGAGCTTTTGCTTCAAACCCGTAGCAGAGGGAGAAAGGTGTTTCGCCTGTTGCTCGCCGAAGGGTGGTGCGGTATGCCCAAAGGATGTTGTGGAGTTCTTCTACCCAGCCACCACCCTCGGCCTCCAGCTTCTTTTTGAGGCCCTCGAGCAAGGTCCGGTTGGCATTCTCTACTTGCCCGTTGCCTTGAGGGTAGGCAACGGAGGAGAAGGTGTGTTTGATGCCCCATGCCTCCAGAAGGGCACAGAAGGGGGCTGCCTCAAATTGTGTTCCGTTGTCGGAGATGATCTGCTGGGGGACGCCAAACCTTGTGAGGATGTTCTTGAGGACGAAGTGACGGCACTTCGCCTCTGTGATACTGGCGAGGGGCTCAGCCTCCACCCACTTGGTAAAGTAGTCGATGGCCACAATGATGTACCTGTTGTTGGAGGTACCCCTCGGCAGAGGGCCCACAAGGTCTATCCCCTATCGAGAAAAGGGGACAGATGTGCTGATGGGGGCATAGTTGACCGCTGGCCTGCCGGGGGCTTTCTGGAAATGTTGGCATGTGGTGCACCTTCGGGCAAGGTCAGCACAATCTCTGGCCATGGTTGGCCAGAAGTAGCCCTGGAGAATGAGCCTTCGGGACATGGAGAAGGGTCCCTGATGAGCTGAGCAAGTGCCACTGTGCACCTCCTCCATTGCGACCTCGGCTTCATCCTGATGAAGGCACCGAAGTAGCGTGCCGTTGTAAGACCGTTTGTAGAGCCTTCCGTCTTCGATGGTATAGCTAGGAGCCCTCAGTTTTGCTAGTTTAGCGCGGGTCTCGTTCTCGGGTAGCTGCCCTGTGGAGATGAAGGTGATGATATCCGAGATCCAGTCCTCTTGGCGTTGTTGTATGTTCATAACGGGGCTTGCATGGATACTTGAGAGACTGAGTTCCTCAATCTTAGCAATCTTGGAGATGTGCTCGGGGGAGTCGGCCGAGAGCTTAGATAGTATGTCGGCCTCGGAATTCTGAGCCCTCAGTATTTGAGTGAGAGAGTGTGCCTCAAATACCTTAAGCAACTCCTTGGCCGCCTCCTTGTACTGTTTCATTCTTCCCTCCTTGGCCTCATACTCCTCGGAAATTTGGCCAACGACCAACTTGGAGTCGCATTTGATATGGATCTGCCGAGCCTTCATGTTGGCAGCCAGCCGAAGGCCACATAGGAGGGCCTCATACTCGGCCTCGTTGTTGGAGACTTTGAAGGAAAAGCGGATTGCATAGTAGGCTTTGAAGCCCTCGGGGGTAATGAGGACTACCCCTCCCCCGCATGCTTTGGTCGTGGAGGAGCCGTTGGTGTAGAGGGTCCACCAGTCGTCCGAGGTAGCCGAGGGCTCCCCGTCCGTGGCTGCCCTTGCGGCACACTCCGTCACAAAGTCCGCCAGGGCTTGGCCCTTGATGGCAGGCTTTGGACGGATGTCAATGTTGTACTGGCTCAAGAAGATACCCCATTTCACCATGCGGGAGGAGCTGGTGGGGCTCCTCATGAGGGCGCCGAGGGGTTGATGAGTGAGGACCTGAACCGGGTGAGCCTGAAAGTAGTGGCCCAACTTCTTGACGGTCCAAACGATGGCTAACACCGTTTTTTCCACAGGGGAGTACCTGAGCTCGGCCTCCCTTAGGGTCTTGCTTACATAGAAGATGGCATGTTGGATGCCGTCTTCCTCCCGGATGAGCACGGAGCTGATGGCTGCAGGGCTGACCCCAAGGTAGAGATAGAGGGTCTCCCCTACCTTTGGTTTGGATAGCACAGGGGGTGAAGATAGATATCGTTTGAGCTCGTCGAAAGCCCCCTGGCACTCTGGAGTCCATTGAAAGCCAGCCGTGTTCCTCATGATCTGGAAGAAGGGTAGAGACTTCTCCACTGATTTAGATAGAAAGCGGTTGAGGGCTGCCAGGCGGCCCGTCAACCGTTGAACTTCCTTCACGTTTCGTGGGGGCTCCATGTTGATGATGGCCTGGATC